TAAATGTGTAAGGCCCTTCTGCCTGAACTATGTGAGTCAAATTTAATAAAGGGGCAAAAAGTATCAGCATTGCCCCTATGATAGACATAAAAATGACTTTCTTCTTCTTCCTCCTCCTCCTCCTCGTCCTCCTCCTCCTCCTCCTCCTCGTCCTCCTCCTCCTCCTCTTCCTCCTCCTCCTCCTCCTCCTCTTCCTCCTCCTCCTCCTCCTCCTCCTCTTCTTCTTCTTCTTCTTCTTCTTCTTCTTCTTCTTCTTCTTCTTCTTCTTCTTCTTCTTCTTCTTCTTCTATGTTTTAAGACAAAATCTCCTGTATCCAGGTCTTGAACTCCTAATTTTCCTACCTCTGGCCCCAAGCGCTGTGATTACAGGAGTACACTACCATACCCAGCTGTGCTGACCATTGTTCTGCCATAATCACAAATTCACACCCTCAAAATGTGCTCATGGTCTTCTAGGGCCTCCTGCAAACCAGTTCCAAAGACCCAAGAGCTACATGGTGGGATTTACCACAGCAACAGCTCTTTCAGTATTGATTGTTTGTATGAGCTACTTCTCTTGATGCTGTGACAGAGAACCCAACAAATGCAACTTAAGCAGAGAAAGGTTCTCCACAAATACTACTAAAAATATGTCAATTTTGCTGTTAGCCCAGCAACTCCGGTGGACTTTTTTCTCTGGTTGATAAAAGGATATCTGCCCTTATTTTGCATGCACACACTGATGGTTGATTTTTTATTGTCCACTTGACTGGATTTAGGATTATCTAGGAGACACATCTTTGGAAATATCTGTGGGAATGTCAGTTAAATGTCTAAAAATGTTGACTGCGAAGGGAAACCCTGAAAGCGAGTGAAGCCATTCTGTTGGGCTGGAGTCATGGACTGAATAAAAGGAGAAGACAAGAAAGGCTAGCTGAGCACCGGCATTCATGTCTACAGACAGCTCCCCTGATTTCACACACACACAACTCCAAGAAAGTTCTACTGGTTGTACACTTACTGGGTTTGCATCCTGCTGTTGACTCCAAAAAAAGTTCAAACAACAATGCTTAGACTCCAGTTAGCCACACAGATATAGTCATACAAAAATCATTGGCTCAGTAATTTCTTTGTAACTCCAAAATAAACCCACTAAAAGTATTTGCTTAGAGTTAAGAATCTGTATACAAGGACAAAATCCTATGGAAATGTTAAGTCAACTTGCATAGACAAATATGAAGGCGGCACAAGAGAAACTGTGAAATGCTTGCCTGTCTTCCAGAAGTGGGAAAACATTGAGCATCTTCATAAAAGACTCACAATTAGGCAGTGTATTGGTTTTTTCACACTGCTCTGGTGATATGCCACAGAGTGAATGACTTCAGAAAGTCATTCCCTCAAAACATGGTTTACCGAATTCTAGGGCCTCCATATTCCTCCTGGAAACCCATTCCAAAGGCCTAGAGCTGCACTGTGCAGTTTATCAGAACCCTCTTGCAGTACCAATTGTTTGTATTTGTTACCTCTCTTGTCACGGTGACAAGATTCCATGTGGCTCATGGTTCAAAGGCTAGCATCCATCCTGTAGGGAAGGCATGATATGATAGTCAGAGTGTAGGCGTGCTGGCTTCATTCCAGGAACTTTCAGGAAGCAGAGTTTGGATTGCAAGTGGAGCCTACCTACAACCTTCAGACTTCATCCCAAAGAACCCAAGCTGGTCATCTAGGCAGCGCATCCAAAAAGTTCCACAAGTTCCCAAAGCAGCATCAACACCCGAGGCCCAAGTGTTCAGACACAAGCCTGTTGTGAGTGCATTTCACATTCAAACTCTGGGCATGAACTGCATTGCTGTGGGAATAGCTTAGGCAGAGAGAGCCACTCCCAGCTAGTGATGTAAACCTTCCTGACATCCGTTCTAAGATTCAGATCTCTCCAAGGGCAGTGCTTTAGGCTTGCTGTCAGCTTGTCCTCTACTGTAGGACTCAGAAAACTGCATACAGGGTCAGCCAGTCACTGGAGTTGCAGATGTCATCCTCCTTGCAGCCATGTCTGTCTCCCTACATGATCATCTTTATCCCTTCAGATGCTCTGTGCTTTCCTCAAAACAGCAGCGGTGGGCTGGGGGAAGGTAGCTCAGTGGTACTGTGCTTACCTAACATACTCAAGGCCCTATATCCCATTCCCAGAAACACACATGTTTGTATGAGAGCACACACACACACACACACACACACACACACACACCGGCAGTAAACCAGGAGAGAACAGAGTCCTGCTCTGAACCCAGTGTGAGAGGAGTGGATGAGTCATAGCAAGACAGTAAGTGGGAGTAAGAGACCTGTGGGTTCTGCCACACCAGCTGTGCTGGGCCACTCTGAACTGGTCATGGAGAATATGACATTGCTTAGGTCTTAAGCAGATCATCATGAAAGGAATGAAATATGAACTTCAATATTGCAGTGACTGGTCATTTTTATAAAATACAGTCATTAAAGCAATACAGCAAAGTGGTACCAAGTATTTTTAAGTTATTCTCTATTATCATTGTAAAATATGCCCTGATTCTATTCAGTAAAGTTTAGGAAAAATGCATTAGAGAGGTGACATCAGTTCACCAAGGTTCTTTTAATCTCAGACTAAAATATTTCAATTTTTTAATAAGAAACTGTAACTGAACAGTTTATTTTGGTATAAAAAATTGTTTCTTAAGTGTCATTTCCTTTTTTTTCAAAAATGATATCACCAAGGTTAAACATTACTCAGTCTAACATATTAATAAATTCAGTATCTCTTGGCATTCCAGTGCTAAACTACTCAGTAATAAAATGCTGGTCCTGGTGTGTTGATTCCTTATTTTACACCATGTGCAACAACAACAACAGGGAGCCTTGCAATACTTTCGAGCAGCTACATTTTCAAGGCCTTTAAGGGCCTCGGGTGTGAGAGCTAGAAAACACCGCTTTTCTATAAACATCTTAAAATTGAGCTTTATTCCTAATTACGATATGAGTAACTACAATCTCTGAATAAATATATCCATTCCACAGCTTTCATGATGCCTAGCATAAGACAAAGGCTCCTGGATACATATTTCAAAGGGGAAAGTCTCCTGGACACCAGGATGGCGACTAGAAATGGGATGGTACAGAGACGGAAGGAACGGTGAGTGTAATGGCTGATGTGGACAGAACAAAGACGTGGCGTGGTGGCACGCATGAACTCTCAACCACATGATTGACTGGACAAAACCTGCATGAGACCACACCCGTTAGCTCACAAAGCACCACCCCTACCCGAGGAGCTGCAAGGAACTGCTGGCTGCTGTCAGTTTTCTCCATGTATGAGAACTCTAATAGGCTGCCCATGACCCAGTGGTTAGCCCTATATTCATTCATGCACCCTGGTGGGGCCTGGCAGGAAAGTAAACACACACACACAAACACACATCACACATACACACACATCACACACGCACACACATTACATATAACACTAATTTGAATCATTGATATATATGTAGCATATATATACATATATATAATTTAAAAAGATTGAGGAGGGCAAACAATCTCCTAAGGGAAAGCATGTCAGCTCAGATTGCATAAACAAAGGGCTGGGTATGTAACCAGAGAGTAGAGAGCTTGCCTAGCATGGGCAAGGCTCCAAGTTCAACCCCCAGCACTACTAAAAAGAAAAACCTGATATCACTGGTTCTTTAAGTTATATAATTGTCTCATTCAACTTTTTCTACATATAGCTTGCTAAATTGATATTTAAACAGTTACCTTTTCCCTCTGTGTTTTTTTAAATTAATTACTCTCACCCCACACTTTCTGTTATGCCTATGTTCACAGCAATATCATATGTATAAATAATGGGAAAGTAGATGAATTAGTTGGGTGCATTCATAAGAGGGAGACAGTCGAGAAAATCATTGAACTAGTGAATATTTCTGATAGGTATAGATAGCTTTCAAAGACAAAACCCACCGGGCGGTGGTGGCACACGCCTTTAATCCCAGCACTCAGGAGGCAGAGGCAGGTGGATCTCTGTGAGTTCGAGGCCAGGCTGGACCAACAGCCTCCAAAACATTACAGAGAAACCCTGTCTCAAAAAAAAAAATCAACAACAAAACCCAACTGAACAGAGATTATTCACACTATGTTACTTAAATAAGGTTCAAACTAGGGAAAATAATGTAAGTCTGTGTGCTATTAGTGAAACTTGTATTTGGAATAAATGGGTGGAACTGATGCTATTCAACTGCTGTAGTGATTACCTGTGAATGACTTAGTGCAAGGTGATGAACATTTTACCCAGGTAGCATATGGTATCCTTGAGTGATACACATCATTATATAATTTTTCTACCCGGAGGCACACATGGAGTCCTCGTGTTCCCCTAACTTCTTCTCCCGACTCCATTCACAGGAGCATAGAAACTACACTGGGCCTCATCAGACCCGAGTCTCCGAGAACTCATTCGTGTCTGTCTCCAGGTAATGGCAGAAGCGTCATTTTGCTTCTCCTTACAAATCCAGTACCTTCTCTACTGAAAAGTTGAGTGCCATCAACTTAGACCTAGTTTCTACACTCTAAACATCTGTTATTTGTCGTCCGAGTCTCCACCCCACAAACCCTTTGGTAAACCCTTCCTAATTAATTGTCTTAAATACTTTCTTTGGAGACATTTTTTTCCTATCATTAAGAAGGATAACTTTCATCTCCTTCACATCTTGCTATTCAAAACAATATGGATTTGGGGAACTTTTTCATAATAAATGAATCTAGTTTCTAAAAGAATCACTTCATATGCCTTGGGGAGCAGATCTTTTCCACTGGGAGCTAGGGGCATCTTGAAACAAAGGAGGAGTCTCAGCTTTTTCTACCTTCTTGACCTCGATTTTCCCCAGGTCCCTTCTCTACTGTCATCAAGGCTGCTGTGTTAATTACATTTCTGTTGCTGAAATTAAACTCCTGACCAAAGCAAATTAAGGGAGAAAAGGTTTGTCGTAACTTACAAACTCAGGGGGATACAGTTCATCTTGGCAGAGAAGGCACGGTAGCTGGCAGGGAAGCATGGTCTTAGGAGCAGCAACATTTATGTCTGCATGCAAAAATCAAAGAGTGGATAAAGCCTGGCTGGACAATAAAGGTTCAAGATCCACCCGCACTGACCTCCCTGCTCAAGTGTGGCTCTGCTTCCTCAAGGCTCCATGGTCTTCCCAAATAGCACTATCACCTGGAGACCAGGAGCCTGTGGGAACTTTCGTATTCAAACCATGTGAGTCATGCCATCTGGACTTTTCTTAACTAACTATAGGGGACTGAGTCTTTTGGTCCAGCGGTGTGAGAGGGAGATGCCCACTCATTAATAATCCGAACACCTCAGGAAGATTGATGGGCTATTACATTGTGCCAGTGAGAAACCACCTTATCTCTCATGCGATGTTCATCTTGTCAGCAGACTGAGATCTAAAAATCATTTCCTACAGGGCTGTTTACTGCATTTTATAGCTGACTCTTCTCAGCTCCAGATGCATCATACTGAAGTGCGAAATGGTCAGTTATGACTGGATAAGCAACATTGCTTGGATGAAATACTGTGTGGCTGGCTGTCGAGAGCCCGTGTCTCTCTATCTCAGGGCAAGAGGACGTAGGGAGTAGAAGAAAGATTTGGTACATATGCGAGATGACTCTGTGAACAAATTCACAGCTACCAAATTTCACAAGACCAAAAAGACCTCATGAGTCAATTTCATTCAGGGTTGTTTAACACCATTTTCACATTAAACGTTTTGTGGGCTAAAAGATTACACCACAAGGTCCACCCAACACAGTAGCTAGTATTTTGAGATGATTTGTACTCTTTTATTCACCATGACCTCTTCAACCTTTCAACCTACCTTCATAGTCTGAAGCCTCTGTGTTTATTATTAATTTTTTTTTTTGGTTTTTCGAGACAGGGTTTCTCTGTATTGCTTTGGAGGCTGTCCTGGAACTAGCTCTTGTAGACCAGGCTGGCCTCAAACTCACAGAGATCCGCCTGCCTCTGCCCAGAGTGCTGGGATTAAAGGCATGTGCCACCAACACCCGGCTATTATTAATTTTATTAGCATATGTGATGTATGTGTGTGTGCCTCACAACATACATGTGGAAGTCAGACCGTAACAAATGGGAATCAATTCTCTCCTTCTACCATCCTGGTCCCAGGATTTGAACTCAGGTCATCAGGTTGGGTATCAAGTGTCTTTAAACACCAAGCTATCTCATTGGCCCCAATCTTAAAATCTCTTTTTAAAATCTGACTTTTAGGTGTCCAGTCCCCTGGAAGTGGAGTTACAGACAGTTGTGAGCTGCCATGTGGGTGCTGGGAATTGAACCTGGGTCCTCTGGAAGAAGAGTTAGTGCTCTTAAACACTGAGCAAAGCATTTCTAAAGCAACAGTAAGGCAGGGAGGAAGAGCGCGTACCTACAATCCCAGAATTTGGCGTGGGGAGGGCAAGAGGACGGAGAGTGCAAGGCCAGCCTCACCTGCACGAGGCCCTGGGTCAAAAACGACAAGGTGAATGAAAGGTTTGGGAAGCCAAGTGTCAGTGTGTGTTTTAGCTACTTTCCTGTTGTTGCGACAAAACACCGTGACCAAAAGCAACTTGGGGAAGAAAGAGTTTATTTCCCCTTGAGTTCCCACATCACATTCCATCACTGCAAAGTTCAGGGCAGGAACCCAGAAGCAGGCACTGAGGCAGGATCCATGGAGGAACACGGCTTTCAAGCTTGCTCATTGTCTGCTCAGCCTGTTTTGTTGTCGTTGTTTTGGTTTTTTAACACCCAGGACCACCAGCCCAGGGGTGGTACTGCCTACAGTGAACTAGAAAATGCTCCCCCCCCCACACACACACACATCAATCAAGAAAATGCCTCACAGGTTTGCCCACAGGCCAATCTGGTGGGGGTGGGGTCTCAATTGAGGTTCTCTCTTCCCAAATAACTCCAGCTTGTATCAAGTTGATGAAGACTAGCCAGCACGGTATATAAACAATGAAATTTATCATGAGAACTTATTAATCACTCTCTTTTTCAAAAGTGTCAGGGCATAAAGTAAAACTGAATAAATTTCTGGAGGTGACAGAATGGTGGGCACCAGATCCAGGTATAATTCAGAAGTTTGCCCCCTAGGAAGCCCAGTTTATCATGGTTTTCGGGACCCCATCCACACCATAGCAACCTTGAGAGCCACGCTTAGTCAGCTGTAAGGCAGGGCCTGAGTTTACATGTGCTCTAAGAAAAGGTGGGACGTAGGAATTGTTAGTAACCCCAGAAGAGCTAGAGTGAAAACAATTTCACAGAATGGGTCTCAGGTTCTGAGTTCTCATTCACGTAACAGGCAGGGCATTGTTTCTGACCAAGCCACGGTGCAACTGTTATTTCCTGTGAATAATTCACAGACATAACTAACATATGGAAATTAATCAGAAGTGACTAAGCAATGACAGACTAGTAGCGTTACAGCAATCATTTATTTATGAAATGGTAATGAGTACAAAATGTCAGCAGGAGTTAAAATTCATCAGCTTGTTACTCTTTTCGATATTACTTCAAAGTGTGATGAATTCTGTCGAGATGCTCATCTATTTAATTATTCCTCTGTACTAAAAAAATAAAGCTCCTCAAAATTAAAAATTAGGTAAAACATGTTCACCGTTTACTAACTCAAAGCAAGGTGATAGAAATCAAAGGTCATTTCTACAGAGGAGAAATATTGAAAACTGGTGTGGTAGCAATCAGAGCACTCCAGAGGCAGAGGCAGGGGATCATCTGTATAAAACCAGCCTGGGCTACAAAACAAGAAGCTGACTCAAAACATCAACAACAAAGAAGAAAAGGGGCACTTAAATAGATACAAGAAGCTTACTTTTGTGAAAAAGCGTATATTTGTGTTTCAACACATTATATACTATTTTTTTTAGTTATTCCTAGTTGTGTAATTCTCACCAAACAACCTGGCAGCTTAAAGCAATTTACATTTATTCTCTTGGATGTGACCAGCATTTGGCCTGGCCATTCTGCTCAGAGTCTCTCACGACTCAGGTGTTAGCCAGGGCTACCGAGAGCTGAAGGGTCTGCTAAGACTGAATCTTCTGCATCCAATATGGTGCCCTCACAGGGCTGGCAGCAGCAGGTCTGCTGTCTTCCATATGTGGGTCTGTCTTTGTAATGTAGGCAGAGTTTCTCTGTGTCTTGGCAGTGAAAGACCCTGGCCCAGTCTAAACAGGCAGCTGAGGCTTATGGAAAATTCTGTTCCCCCACAGCTGCATAGTCATTGCCTATCAGAAGGGAGCTCAGCCCAAGGACACAGGCTGCCGGGTGTCAAACAAGATATCTGCGGGCGGCCGGATGGCCAGCTCAGCAAGGTTAAACAAACACAGAGATATCTGCGGGCGATCAGATGGCCAGCTCAGCAAGGTTGAGCAAACACAGAGACCGATTGTTCCTCAGATAGGGCCAAGACTTGAGTTCCAAGAAAAACCTCAATTGCCCGCGCTCTGAGCCCTAGCCTCATTTAAATTGCCCAATCAGGGTCCTGTTACTAGGCTTCTCGCTTCTGTACCGCGCTTTTTGCTATAAAAGAACCCCTGAGTCCCCAGCTCTGGGCGCTCAGTTCCCGAGACTGAGACGCCCGGGTACCCGTGTGTTACCAATAAAGCCTCTTGCTGTTGCATCCAAGCTCGTGGTCTCGTTGTTCCTTGGGTTCGGGTCTCCCTTCCGTGAAAGTATCCCTTTTGGGGTCTTTCAGCAGCTGTTCCCAAATAACCACAAAGAGGCTTAATGTTAATTATAAATGCTCAGCCGTAGCTTAGGCTTACTACTACCCAGCTCCTACAACTTAAATCAACCAGTATCTCTTACCTAAATTATACCACATGGCTCATGGCCTGTTGCCTCATTGTCTGTACATCCTGCTTCCTCTACATCTGGCTCGAGACTCCTCAGATTCCACCCTTCTTCTTCCCAGCATTCTCTCTGCCCTGAAAACCCTGCCTAGCTGTCAGCCAATCAGCTTTTCATTAGCAATGAGTGTGTAGAGAAGGGTTATTCTGCAGCATTGGAACTGCTCATGACACGAGGATGCTGTGGGTGGAAACACCAAGAGGTAGACTACGAAGACCATCCTGCTTCTTCCTGTCACACTAGCTACGCCAAATGACAGCCCCTAGTCTCATTTTTTGAAAAAGTACTTTGTAAAAATTGATTTGTATTCCTGAGTGTTATTTATATGTGCAATAAGATATGAATATCTGTCCCCAAAGGAATATTCATAAAATAATAAACATACAATATTTTAAATATTGATTTGTAGAGTTTATGTGGACTCACTTCATGGTTGCTCTACTGAGGGTTAATATACTCACTTGAATTTTTTTTTTTTTGCAATAGGTGCTTCAACTTGGGGCTCCTGAACAAGGCCTACCCACATCTTTTTGAAGCCTGCAGACATTGTTTATTTGCAGATGAAACACCAGCACCTCCTGCCCAGATAACACTTCTTTTAATTTTTTTGGATTTTGTGGTCCTGGACATTGAACCTGGGACTTCACACAGGCTAAACAGATGGTCTAACCACTGAACTCTGTCCCTAGCACTCCAGGCTACAATGCTGGCTTGTGGCTCTTGGATGCCCCCTACACACATGGTGTGCAAATGTTCTTCAAGAGTCTCAGACTGAGTCCAGATTAGCCAAACCCAAACCCATCCACTTTCCTCAAAGCTGACCTTGCTCCTCCTCAGAATTGTTTTGTTTGTAAAGATGTGGTCTCATGTCTCCCCTCAAGCTGTGAGCCAAAACAAACCACTCTAGTCCCTTCTGGTCGGGTATGTGGTCACAGTAACTGGAAAAGTATCTAAGACAAATCTTCAACAGATGTCACATAACACAGGGTGACAAGCACATGTTCCTCCACCTTTGAACACAGAGGTTGTTGCATCACCACTATTCACCTGTGAATTCTTATTTGCTTACATTCATTCAATAAGTAGATTGTATTGTGTTGTTTTGTTTTGGAATAGGATTTCACTCTGTTCTGACTGTCCTGGAACTCACTTTGAGGAGCAGGCTGCCCTTGAACTCATAGAAATCCACCTTCCTCTGCCTCTGGAGTGAGTGCTGGGATTAATGACTT